GAACAGAGGGCGTCGTGAAACAAGTGAAGCAGGCCCTGCGACGGCCTGGGACTAATGTCAGGCAAAGAAGATAGGATGAGAGCAACTCGTGGTAAAAACGGGGCGCTGTTGCAGTAAGGCGGAGCAGTTGGGGCTGAAGGGTGAAAAAAAAACGGTTGTGCGCTCGGGGTGAGGATTTTACCTGGAAGAAGCATCGGGTTAGGGTGGACTATGGGGCCTTTCCGGATTCGTTTGGCCCGCCGCCAGACCGTTCTCTACCAAATGCTGAAGCAGGTAAGCGGCAGTAGTTGGTGGAAAACGACTTTTACGGGCGATATGATACAGCGTCGTTGGTAGCTAAAAAATGAGAAAAGGGCTGGCGCCATGCTAAACCCTTCCCCTAGAAGGAAACTGATACCGCTCCAAACCTACACAGCTTGTGCGAAACTCCGTGGTTTCAAATGCTTTGGATGCCCCTCACCGAGCAGAACTCCACTGTTGGAATATTGTTGGAACAGTGCCAAAAATAAAATATCACGCTAGGGCCTTTGTTTTCAGGTATGGCGGTAAGTCGTGTTTTGGTGAGGGACGCCTTGGCTTCTGCTCTGGTCTCAATTTCATCGTTGTCGTGATCAACATAGTTCTCCTTGTTCTCAACTTCCTTAATATTGGAGCATGGGGACTAGTAAGTTGTCATCAGAAGTAAAGTTTGTATCGATTAGTATTGATTTGCACATTTCAGGAACGAATCTACTCGGTAGTGTGCACTGTTCTATTTTTGATCGCTGCAGCACTTATCATCTGGTTCATCATTGAATATAACGTGTCCCGTTCGACTCTCATTGCGAGTGCGGTACGTATTCTATCACTTATCGTAGTACCAGGTCACCGTAATCCCTACAATAATAAGTAGTACGGTACTGTATTATTTTCAGGCTCTAATGGTCGTCGAATTCTTCCTATTTCTATGGGATGTGAAGATTCTTCAAGGCGAAGCATCCAACTAAAAACCAATTTCTAAAAGCATTTTCTTCCATTGTTTCCACTATCATCATCATCTCCTTTAGCATAAGAAATGTGTGTTTCTGTAATTGTGCGTGTGTGCTGAAATCCATTTATCAGTCAAAATTTGACATGAGGAAAATCTTATTTTCCGTTGTAAAATTTGCTTCAGATCGAGTAGCAACACCATCGTATGTTGCATTATTCTTCTTGACATTGTGCATAGTTTTTCTGTAATAAAAATATTCGTTTTAATCAAGGATCACAACAAACCCGTGGTTATCGATAGAAAGGTGCTTAGACGTCGCTCAAAACAACTGAATGAAAAACAACAGTGCAAACTCACCTTGTGCAAACGAATGCGGGCCGAACTTCTGAGCGCTAGTGCTCCATGGGCGAGGCGAACGGGTCTGCAGCTGGTGCCACTTTCTCCGAAAGGTGCACGGGAACATGGCTGTACCCAGGCCACGCTATCCTCAATGTGCAGCACTTGCGTCGATACCAAAGCCCCCTAGCAAAGCACGCACTCAGCGGGAGAGAACAACCAGAACTGAGAGGGCGCAGACAAGTAGCGCGTCTGGCTATGTTTAGGCGTGTGGCTGGCCGTTCGCCAGCGAGATGTGGCGGCTACTGCAGCTGCTGCTCCCACACAGCAAGATCCAGAGAGGTCACTGTACAATTTTTTTTCAAGACAAAAGGCACGATAGTTCAGTACTTCTTCAAAACTAGTCAGGGGGCTATACAGTGAGAAAACTACGAAAAAGCGAAGTTAAACGGCCAAAAACCTGCGAAAAACCTTGTTCTGCACGGCATTGGACGAGCATTTTTGGACGAGTTTCCGTTGGCATCGTGCCAACAACCGCTTTGATAGATACGGCTGCACATATTTATTCATGTAGCAACGCTTGCATATCAATTGAACTTCATAAATGAAGCCATAAGAGTACCAACTCGATGTAACTGTCCGGCCACTTGTGGACAGGTGGTTGCGGTGGGCGCCTGGGTTGTCTGTCGCACCTTGGTTAGGTGCTATAACCGGAGAACCTAACCAAGGTGCGACAGACCCTTAGCCGGAGAAGGAGCCACGTAGCGTCTGCTAAGTACCACAATACTCTTTCGTACTAGCGTGTCGACCCTAGACGCCTTGCCGATTTATCGTGCCACTTGGGTTTGAGCGCGGAAAAACTACTTTAAGTCGAAACAAAAATTACCAACTGGTCTGCGGCACATTTCATTCCGCTTCTACTCTGCACGGCTGCAAGCGCGTTGTTGCTCCTTGATCGTTGGTGTATAACTAGTTGTTTTTATTTATTAGTAATGCTTATCATAAGCAATGCATAAGTCAATAGTAATGCTATAGATAGCATGGCTCTCAGCAAGGGAACCAAAGAGTAACGAGAAGTGAAGCAGGCCCTTGAGGCACCATAGAAAACCCATCTTTATTGGTTTTGCAGCAGTGAGAGTTGAGATGGGGGCTGGATGAGGCTGAGGAGGTCGCAAAGACAGATGTTAGGCTTCTGAAGATATGAGGGTGAAGTCGGTCAAAATGGGGCATACGTCACAAGAAAACAGGTGGACGTTGCAAGAAAACCACCGCTGGCGGTGCAGGCGATATATCTCCTATAATAAAACCTGCAGTTCATACGCGATTCGTCACCTGGACGCCCATCCTACGGCCATACCAATCGGCGAAATGTCGATCAATACCCGTGCCATTACGGTGTTTTCCTTTATACGTTCTCATCCTCTAGTGTTTTCGAGTGGTATTCGTCGCAGGGCTCTTCAACAATAATTTTGGCATTTTTTTGGTGGAGGTGCTAGTACAGCTGGTTCATGGAAGTATGCTATTCCTTGCAACGGTAGGGTTACAACTGCGCTAATATTTTCCACGTTTTAGTCCCATTAGAGGGCGAAGGGCCTGTTTTCTGATCTCCAAAGTCCTGTTTATCCTGCAATGCAGACCTCTGAACCCTTCAAGGATATATGCGCACACTGTTGTTTGAGAGGATCCGTTTTGCCCTTTGTCTAATTCTGTAATCCGAATTCCCTCCTTATAGACACATTCCGCAACAACCAGATGGGTGGAGAATTAGGCAGGTATTCAAGTTGATTCCCTCATTGGTGCGCCCGCGCCCCTTCCTTTTTGTTGTCCTGGAACGAAAA